TTATATCTGGCATTGAGTGATACATCACTTGTTTTAACTTTTCAGTAGTACTTTATTATTAGTCGATGCATCGCCTCTTGCACCGGTTTTACTAGATGCACTTAAATAACTAGGTTTTTTTTGTGAGAATTGTTCGGGTTTCTTGCGAAACTTCGGTGCAAAGATGTTTTCAAAAAGTAAGTACCACTGCCGGCGATACTATAATGGAGCAGTGTTCTTTGCAGAAAATACGTCGGCACACACGTCTAATCATAGGTCGACGTTCCTTCATGAATGAAATCTGTTAATGTGTTCAAAATTGGTTTTTGCCTGAATGACACGACATAAACACAGTGGGAATAATTTTATAAAGCTTTGAGGGTGTAAAATTCTGAGAAAACATTTACATTTTAAGATTATTTTTCAGATTCAGGTATTGACGCGGTGGCTAGGCTTTTATCATACGTTGCTCTGACAGTAAGAAGATACTTTTCTCCTTTATGAACATAATTGGTAGTAGCCCGAGTTTGATATTAACTAAGTAAATACATTGTTTAACTAATTGTGCAAGAAGGATTTTATGATAATATCCACCGTGTCAAGTGAAATCGGTTTAAGGCTACCCTCCTCACGTACTTGCTCAGCGATCGCTATCAGTTGATCGTTGTTGAGTGTGATGATACCCAACTGAATTGCTCTATGAGCCACAGCGTGTTTTCCTGTAATTCTAGTCGCAATGTTCAATGTACGCTCAATACCAAAGTCTTCAGGTCGCATGATTTCGTACGCACGAGAATCAGTAAGCATTGCCTTAATATGTACGCCTGCTTTATGTGTAAATGCAAACGGAGATGTAATTGGCATGTCATGTGGAATCGAAATGCCAAGTATGTTAGCCACGAGTGTATCCAATTTTGGCAGCTCATTTAAATCATACTTTGTTAAGAGTTCAGGTTTAAGGGATTGAAGACGAGCGATAAATCCACTCAACGAGCAAATGCCATTACGTTCACCAATACCAAGTACGGAGGTATCAATACAAAGTGCACCTCCTTCCAATGCTGCATGTGAATTCGCGACAGCACAACCCGTATCATTGTGACCGTGAAACTCGATTTTGAATTGGAATGAACGACTTGAAACATTTCGAATACGTTCGTAGACTTCAAATGGCGTGGCTCCACCCACAGTATCAGGAAAATCAATTTGATCAACACCGACATCGTTCAGTGCTGTACACATGTAAAGAAGATCATCGAGATTCGTACGAAACGCATCTTCGGCGCCGACACGAACAAATTGACAACCTTGACTCTTGACATATTTCACCATGTCGACGGCCGTTTGAGTCGCTTGCTCGATCGATTTTCCATGACTAGCATTTTTCAAATAAGAACTCGTACCAATAAATAAATTAATTCCATATGCACCACTTTGCAATGCTAATTCAACATCGGCTAAGTGACATCGACAATGGACGAGTATTTTGCTTTTCATCCCATCAAGCGCGCATATAAGTTGACGCAATTCATCTATGGCGTTCGAGTAGGACGCGGGTGAACTCATCTCAATGTATTCTACACCGAAACGTGCAAGTGAGAGACATATCTGCATCTTGTGCTCGAATGTAAAATTAGCTCCATTAAACTGTTCCCCTTCACGTAGAGTTGAATCAAGGATTTCGACGTGCTTTATGGTCGTGCGACTTTGTGATTGCTGCGGTTGTGGATTGTGGTCGCCTAGTTTTTGTTGTTCACCAACTCCTTGTACGAGATCCATGACTATGAATGAATGTGATGCGCCGTGTTCTTATTCTAAAACGGAATTAATATAGAGAGGTAAGGATAAACATTGATAACTGCCTTAGCATTGTATACTTTTTGTATACTTTCTATCGCGACGAACTAAAGAACGGCGAGGCGCCTGACACAGTTTCAACGCAGGCCGAAACTTTCACGTTTCAACAGGTAAAAGATACTGTTGGATCCTCGATAAAACGTTCATCTCTCATGGAACGTAATTTTCCGATAATGAAAATGAGGCAGGCGCCACTCTAACACAGTAGCATCTGCATGCAAACGTAGCAGAAATGTTCTGGCGGATCAAAATGATATGATACCAAACATATTAATGATGCATCCCACATTGATCATTTTCATGGTCGTGCCTTCTACCTTTCATTGTTTGTATCTTCATATCGAATACACGCGCTCACCGTCTTCATCAAAGGACTCCAGCGCAGTAAGAAGTCGATGAAAAATAGATATATTCGTTGTGGCATTGAGTGATACATCACTTGTTTTAACTTTTCAGTAGTACTTAATTATTAGTCGATGCATCGCCTCTTGCTTCATGCAAAAAAAATCTAGTTATTTAAATGCATCTAGTAAAAGCAGTGCAGTAGATGCAAGAGACGATGCATCGATTAATAATAAACTACTACTGAAAAGTTAAAACAAGTGATGTATCACTCAATGCCACAACGAATGTATCCATTTTTCATCGACTTCTTATAAACACTTTAAGGATACTTCTACTAGATATGATTATGTCAAGTGATTATGTTTGCTAAAAAGATACTTTTTACTATGAAATGTCTAAAGCGGACATTTATATACATTCAAGTTCTAATCAAATTTCTTTAGATTTAATTTAATTAGATTTTTATTGTCAAGTTTTATATTTAGATTCATAATACTTGGCAATTAGAACCAGAATAAATAAATAAGAATTAGAAACCAGAAAAAATAGAAATAGAAACAAAATGTATACGAATGAAGAAGTTTCATACTCTGATTTACGCGAGAGAGAAGAGGTTTTTTCAGGAGATTTAACCACAATATTTATTACCTCTGGGTGCTGGCTTCTTTCCAAAATACCCATTTTGCACTATGTGAGTGGTGCTACATGTTTGCTAAAATCTTTGCATATTCGTTTAGGAACCTATTCAAACTGTTCCAGCCCAGTTCCAGGTAGAACTCGAACTAGAACAAAAGGTGAAGAAATCAAACATTCTTTCTGATGCGTCATATATCATCAGTGGTATTTCCGCATCACACTATCCGATGACACTTTCGGAATGTTTCACGATGTTCTATACCTATATATAGGCCGGTTTTTCTATTGCTTTTTGTGTCAGAATTATATTTACTCAGAATTATATCTGGCATTGAGTGATACATCACTTGTTTTAACTTTTCAGTAGTACTTTATTATTAGTCGATGCATCGCCTCTTGCACCGGTTTTACTAGATGCACTTAAATAACTAGGTTTTTTTTGTGAGGATTGTTCGGGTTTCTTGCGAAACAGCCAGTTAACTGGCTTTTTTTCAAAAACAAAAGTATAATGAGCCCATGGTTACTCACTACCACAGAAAAGAAATGATCTGAAAACTGCCCGTTGACAGCCTGGTAACTGTCTGATTTACTGGCCATTTTTTGGTCTTAAGAAATTACTGTGTAAAAGCAAAAAAAAAATTACTATGTAAAAGATCTTTTGTTCTTGTGTTATCGGTCTGATCATTATGATTTGGATGATGTCTGTAATCCTAGAGATAACGTTCTTATACATTTCGCAACTAGAAAATATTTGTTTGGTGCAACTATTAGGTTAGGTGATTTAAATGCTCATTGTTCAGATTAGCGAACGTCCGGTAGACCATCGACTCCAGAGGGAACTGTGTTGAGAGACTATATCAGTAGTAAAGGATTTGTCCAATTAGTTAATAAACCTACTCAGATAGTTTAGATATTATAATTACTAACAACGTAACCAGAATTACTAATATCCAAGTAATAACAAACATCACTAAAATGCTCATCGATACTGACCATTCTGGAGTGCAGTTCACATTACTAACAAAAACTGATCATAACACACCAACTAAGCGCCTTATCTATGATTATAAAGTTGTCAATTGAGATGTTTTTCGTAATAAACTCAGCTTAATTCCATTTAACCGCTTACTAAAAAGTCATTCAGATGTACACGAACGCACTACATGTTTGACTTCCATCCTCTTAGGTTATGCAAGAGCCAATATTCCAAGTAAATTAGTCACACTCTCATGTAAGAACAAGGCATGGTTTAGCGAGTCATTAAGAAAACTCTTCAAAAAAACGAAATAATTTATACCGAGTTTATTCCAAAACTGGTTTAAATAGAGATAAAATATTCGCCGACAAAGCAAACTCGCTATTTCAAGCTGCTTGTATCTCTGCTAAATCATCATACTTTAGGAAAATATCGTTTGAAAAAATGTCTTATCAGAACAAATTTTATTAACAGAATTTAATACTTGACTTTACGACTGAGTTGTATCGGAGTACGCCTTTATGACTGAGCCGTATAGCACTAGGACTCTATGATTTTACGACTGACGAGGAAAGGACAACAAGTGGCAAATCGCTTTTCAGCCGTGAGCAAGTGGGCAATAGGTAATTAAATATGCTGAATCCGAATATGACATCCGTTTGGGCTGATGGGCCTTGTGAGACCGGGTCTCTGGAAAACCGGTTTCTCAGAAATCCCCTAAAATCATACTAGTGCTTTTTAACGTGTTAGACTTTTAGCCCGTACGTTTTGCATCAAAATGAGACATCTCCCAGCTTTACACGATATTGCTTTGCAAAGTTACAGAATTTACAAGAAAAGCCCTAAATGTTCATTGTCAGCTCAAAGCTACAGAAATAACAAGGAAAAATTGATTTAGGGCTTTTCTTGTAAATTCTGTAACTTTGCAAAGAAATA